AAGCAATGCATGCATGGTGCAGTGAATTCAGAGTGCAGATGTATGGAGGACAATGGTCAGGAACGCTAGTGGCATGGTAATCAGGGTCAGGCTGTGAAACTGCTGCTCAGTGATAAGCATCTCATCCAGAAACCCTGGGTGGGAGAGGAGGTGTACATTACTTCTTCTTGGTGACTAATATGGACCAAAAGTTGATGATTTCTAAAACAAATGTCCAGTGACCTAAATATTCACTAACTGATGACTGGATAAAGAACATATGATGTAATTACACGGTGGAATACTATTCAGCCTTGAATAAAGAAGGAAATACTGCACTATGTGACAACATGTATGAATCTGTTGGCCATTATGCAAAGTGTAATACACCAGGAACATAAAAACAGATGCAATATGAGTCCAATTTTGTGAGGTGGCTAAAATAGTCACTCAAAGAATCAAAGGGTAGGGTGGAGATTTCTAGGAACTAGGGGAGGAAAGAAATGAGGAATACAAATCAATGAGTATAAAATTTCAGTCAAAATCAATAAGTTCTAAAGATCTGCTGTACAACAATGTACTGAAAGTCAACAATAATATGTACTGAAAACTATGTTAAAAGGGTAGCTCTTATGTAATGTTTCTGTTACAATAAAATAAAATAAAATGTCAGATAAACAGAGTGCTATGCTGACTGCTGTTGATGGCATTTTAGTTTCACAACCATTAATTATTATACCTTCCTGCCTTTTCCTCTCCTTCAAAAACCATCCCAACCTTTCCCGTTAGTGGAATGGGAAACGTCCCAGCATTAGGAGCTCAAATCCCAGCTTTTCCATTCATTAGCTATGAGACTTTAAGTCAGTCTCTTTGTTTTTGGAATCTCTACATATTTTGTCTCAACAATGAGTACAATATAACCTGCATCACAGCAATGCTGTAAATGTTCAATAACACAAGGGACTCTATAATCTCCAAGGAAATCAAAGCTTCCTAAAATGCTGCGTTATGGACTTCTCAGGCTTTCTAAAACAAAAGCATTTTTGTATCCTAGCTCATATGTTTGGGGTTTAACTGATCTTGGCTGTACTCTTACAAGTCTTTGGGTCACCTAGGAGCTCTATATCTGATGGGGCCTGGTTGGGTACTTTATCTGGGTCAGCTGTATTCCATATGTTACTCACCTCCACCCTGGCATCAGATGGCTAGCCTGGGCATACCATTATCCCTGTTATAGCAGCCACAGAAGTACAAGAGATAGAGCAAAAGCAAGTAGGCTCAGAATAAGAACACCTTCACTTCTGCCTCATTTCGTTGGCCAAAGCAAGTAACGTGGTCAGAGTCATGCATGAGAAATTATACTTCACTTGCAGTGCTTTAGTCAACTAAAAGTTACATGGCAGCAGAGGTGGATTTAGAAAGGGGTGAAAAATTGCAGCCACAAATGCAAATTTACATTAGGCACCAAACATCTTGCAACTCATAAGTTTAGCACTGCATTCTATTGTCAATAGGCGGACGATCCTCGTCTAATTTGTAACTTCTCAAATCATTAGAGCTGACGCTGATGGTCACACTTTCTGCTCACAGTTCACTGGGAATTGAGAGATGAACTTTCCAGGTGAAAATGGGATCTCTATCTGATTCACCTTATACCACTCATATTGATTTTTCAGATGTTTCTAAAAATATCAAACTAATGATGAACTTACATGACATTGAGTTAAGTGAACTAAGCCAGACACAGTCAGACAAACACAGTACGATCTCGCTTACATGTGAAATCTAAAAATGTTCAACTCACGTAAGCAGAGAGTAGAGTGGTAGTTTCCAAGGGCTGGGGAAATGAGGAGTTATTGGTTTGAGAATATAAAATTTCAGTTAGATAGGCGGATATGTTCTGGTGATTTATTTTACAACATAGTAATTATAGTTAATAATAATGTATTCCATACTTGGAAATTGCTAAGAGAGTAGATCTTAACATATTTTCACCACCAGTGTAAGAATGTGAAGAGATGGATATGCTGATTAGCTTAATTTAATCATTCCGTAATGCACGCATATTTCAAAACATCACATTGTACACCATAAGTATATACAGTTTTATTTGTTAGTCATGCCTTAGTAAATCTGTGAAGAAATAACTGATGGGTTCTTTGCTTTTTCTTTTGTAGGCTTGATGTGAAGAATTAAGATGGAAAAGTGTGGATTCAAATAAATATAGCTCTCTGAAAATTTTTATATATTTGTATAAAGATTATGAACCTCCTGAACATTTGAGACTCAAAGAGAAATGGCCTGTTTGTACATTTATATATCTTCCTTCTAGTTGGCTGAATTTATCACTTTAATTTGTCTTCTTTTTTGGCGCCTTGCAGAGCAAATCAGCCCATGAATTCACCACCTAGAGGACATAGCTTTGAGAATGGATATCATTTTATGGAGAGGGATGTGGCGATGTGCACAACAGTGATTTTGATGAAAAGTTCTCCAAGCTACTTCCCATAGTCTTTTGGGTCAATATTTATAGTGTATTTTAGTTCTTCACCTTTTAAATTATTTCAATAAACTTTTTATGAGTTTAAATAAACATCTGAGAAAATATAAAATATGAATCTAGACTAAATTCATATCTTCTGACAGTTACATACTTCATTACATGGACAGACATAAGATGCAAGAGTCAACCAACCCCATAAGTGGGGCCTTTACATTCTGAATTATCACATACAGAGGGTGATAGATGGCACTATGACTGGCTTAATATTGTACATGAAGTTAAATATAGCCTGAGGAATTGGGTATTGCTGACATTATTCTTCCAATTATCACCTTTATGGTGAATGTATTTTACTCAAGGCACAGTTAAGTAAAGGAGAGATATTAGAAAGACAAGAGGGGGCAGATCCTATGTCAACCATGCAGAGGAAGGCGAAATGTGTGTTTTGCTCCTCAGATGCAGTCTGTATGTAAATTTAATCAGTGCTAGCACCACCAGGAAATAATAATAACAACAACAACAACAACAACAACAACAAAGAATGCAGGCAAGCAACCTCACAATATGAAGATATGAGGGGCCAGATTATCAAAGACCATACTACTTGAAAAGCAAAAGTGTCACTTACCTGATACACAGAGACCTCCTACACATTTCTGGGGCTAAAGGAGTTTTATACTTGCTTCAGAGGAAAATTAAAAATCCTGATACAATTTTACAAGAGGTGATCAAAATATACAGTGAATGTTTAAAAGACACATTACCACTAATCCACCTCACAATACTGCCCCTCTCCCGTGTCCCTCTCCTCCTCTCCCTGTCTCCCCCTCTTCTCCTCTCCCCCCTCCCCCTTTCCTGTCCCCCTCTCCACGTCTCCCTGTCTCTTCTCTTCTCCCTCTCTCCACCTTACAATACTAGTGCATCATTCTTGCCACTTTCTGAAGCAGTTCTGAAGTCTTCTTTTGTATCCTTATGAGGTGTGATCAGCACGATGTGGAGCAGCTGCTGAGTGCCATCCACCAAAGAGCAGACTTGTGCAAACATCAGGGGGTGTTTTCAGCCACCTTATTCACTGGAACTGGCACAGTGTGACTTTTGGCTCTTCCTCAAAGTCAAACGGACCATGAAAGGTAAGTGTTTTGAACTGATTCAGGACATTGAAACAGCCATGACAGTGTCACTAAAGACACTCAAAAAAGAGGACTTCCAGAACTGCTTCAAGAGAGTGGCAAGGATGGGATAAATGTGCTTGAAGCACAGGGGAGTGTTTTGAGGGAGACTAATGGCAATGTGTCTACTTATTGTAATCAATTCTAAAAATTTAAACATTCACCAAATGTTTACATGATGCCGATAAATCTTCCAGATATGTTACTCTCTCACTTTTTGTGTCATAGACATTGGTTTCCAAAAGCGAGATTATCGCCACCCACATATGTGAAAGGTTGCAGGTTTCTTGATACCTATGAGTTCCCCTTTTCCCAAAGCACTCTGCTCCCAGCTGTAGGTCTCCACTGTATTTTCCAGCTGTGTTTTATTCTTGTGATCTACATCAAATGCACACGTACTAGGGAGGAAGTATCAATCAGGACAAAGTGTAGCAGCCTCATACCGGTATGTGGAATAGGCGAACAGTTTCTGAATAATAAAGTGTTGGGTTGCCCCCACACCATCTTGTTTCTTCCTAATTTGTGTTGTTAGGAAGGGTTAGAAGACTTATCTCAGTGTTCATGTTGTTTCAATATAAGTGATCCACATTGTTTCAAAATTAAATTTTGGTTTAATGATATAAAAAGGTCTTCACAGTTTAATAAATCTCCCAAGGCACATTTGTAGTACAATAAAGACCAAAGGCATAAGAGAAATTCAACGGATATTTGAGAGCTTAAAGTGTAATATATATTTTATTTTTTTAAGGCTCAAATTAACCATGTATGAGATTTACTGGTACATATATTGTAATATAGGAAAAGATACTTTTTGCTCTCAATGAAGTGATAATTGAAAAAATTCATACATTTTATGAGAAGTGGTTGTGATGTGCACCTGTAATTCCAGCCACTACGGGGGCCTGAGGCAAGAGGGTTGTAAGCTGAAGTTCAGCTTTGACAAACATTGTGGGTTGCGGATGTAACTCAGTGGTAGAACGCTAGCCTCGCTGTATAGGGCCCTGAGTTACCATACCATTACTATTAAGATAAATGAAAATGAAGCACCCTATCTAGCCATGGTGGCGTACCTGTAGTTTCAGGTACTTGGAAAGCTGAAGTAGGAGCTTTTCTTCAGCCCAGGAGTTTGAGACTAACCTAGGCAACATAGTAAGACCTCATCTCAAAAACAAAACAACACAATCCCATATATCACCTTGAAGCAAGCTCATTTATCTTATGTGTTTACACAACCACTCATTATGCAATATTTGCATGAGAAACAAGATTCAAGTAGGTGAAGATTCATCAGGAGGGAAAAACCTAGAAACAACACTGTACTTAAGTAAAGCACAAGTTACTGTACCTACTTTGTCAGGCACACGCTGTTAAATGGTATATCACGATTCCATGCTGAAAGGTGTCTTTGAGGATGACATTTACTCTGCTCCCATTTGCTGGATGCCTGATTTGTGTCAAATTCTATGCTAGGGGCTGGAGGGAACACAGAGCAAATCACAAGGAAAAATCAGTTTGCTTAAAATAAACCCTACCCCCTTTCTCATTTCTCCCCCAGAAGCACACATGGCTGCCTAGAATTATCTCAAGCATTCATTTTGTATGATATTTGCATTTCAAGAGCACAGACGGAAAGATAATTAGCATTGTTTCCAAGATTACTTACTGAGTAGCTGAATGACACAGTAGTATTCTAGAAGTTAGGCCCAGGGCATGGGGATGATAATTACCCAAATGAATTCCTCATTTTAAACTAGAGCAGTTAGAAGATTTATAAAAAGCCTCCCTTTTTGATTAGGTCCCCATAAGGAATGCTACTAATTTGGATGTGCCAGGCTATGAAATCTCCTTTCCTACATTCTTTTTTTTTATTTAAAGAGAAAAAAAAAGAAAGGAAATAAAAAAAACATAGCAGTAAAAGGGTTCAAATAAAACAGAATTTCAAGAAAAAAATACAGTAAGATATCACTAGTTAATAGGTTACATATTGTCATCTTAGAAACAGTTGTTCAAATAATAAAATTAAAGCATATAAAATGTACACTCATACAATGAGATTGCAGGCAGTGCCGTTCAATGATTTTCCTACAGTCTTGATCTGACCTAGAATTAGGGTTTCCTCCTTGGGAATAAGAACAGGGCTCATTTGGCTTCAAGGACTACCGGCTGATCAATTAAAACTTCTTTTGAAGGTCTGTGGCATTATCCTATTGCTTTGCAATCTAGCTTGAAATAGAAACTGCATTTAACTTGATAATTGATACTCCCTTGGGATTTTAACCTGCTGCTGGATGTATACATCACTGTGGCCCATTGCTATTTTTTCCCCCTCAAATACCATCCAGGCAGTTTCTGTGCTGCTTTGAAGGACAGTGTACATTGCAGCATTCAGACATAATCACGTATTCACTCAACAGCCAGAAATATAGCAAGCACACAAATCCACCCGCATGTTGCCAGACGAAGAAAACCCTTAGAGCTCATGAACAGAGTTCATTTTTTTTTTTTTTTGTCTTTTTCGTTTTTATCGGTACCAGGGATCGAACTCACGACTGTCTGCTTGCAAGGCAGGCGCTTATGCCGCTAAGCTAAACCCCCAGCCCCCAGAGTTCATTTTTTTCTCTAAGTAAATGACCAAACTTGGTTAGTTCCTACACTGGAGGCAAATCACGCTGTCAAAAAAATATAAATGCCAATTATAAAAGACAGGATTCAGCCATAAAATAAGATTATAACCTTAGCAACATCATCACTGAAAGGTGTTCTTCAGAGAAAGAAAACAGCCTCAATTAAGCAATCACTTTCAGATCATGGGATGCGGTTGGCCTCAAATCCTTCACCTCTATGCTTGTTTATTAAGGGAGGAAAAAAATCAATTCTTTTAACATTTGACTTCTCCTGAGCAAAATAATTCAGAGACATCACTGTGTGGGAGAAACCACACTATCGTATAACAAGGCTCTTTTTTATGGCCAGCTCTTTCCTTAGTTCAGTGAGGATATATTAGGATGCAGATTCCACAGGGAGGGAAACTTCCCCCACCCCACCCCCACGGGGCTGCAGAAGCTTGCAGATGAGCTGCAAAGCAAAGACAGGTCTGAAATGGAATTTACAAACCTGATCCTGAGTTGGGAGGAGAGGTGGGTATGGAAGGTGCAGACAGGTTTTACCCCAGTGTATGGATGGCCCATGGGCTTACAGAAGCGGGTGGGTGTCTACATTTCATGGGAGCCACTCCTGCTTTGTAACACTACTCATGTCTCTGCGGTGCAGTAGACAAGACAGGGTCCCAGAGGAATTCCTTCTCAGCAGCATTTTGACACATCCACATGCAACTCATCTACCCACACAAGCCATGCTGCTTTATGACTGATGCAAAGCTTTGGGAAAAACCAAAACCAAAGCAAACAAAGCAGAGATGGATTTGTTCTTGATTTATGGGATTTTTTTTTTTTGTATACCTCTGGCTACCCACAAAGATGCAAAGATGAAATCCTGACCCTCCTCACCCATTCAGAAGTGAATAGTCCTGCATTTGTGGCAATTGACAAGCATCAGAATAAAACAAAGGAGACATTTCAACTTCTGGGGTCCAGATACCTATAAGGGCCTGGAAATTTGTGCTTACTATAGAAAATAGGTGTTTGCTTAGTGTTCTAAAGTTATTTAGGAAGACGCAACTTTATCATAATTTCTTTAAAATGTCGTACTGCCTTTACATAAATTTGCAATAGAACATAGCATATCTATCTCTAGCGATGAAATAACTATAGTGGACAGACCAAGATTCCTTAAACCTTAAATGAATGAGTAAAACACCAAAAAATCCATCCTTCCAAACTTATTTTTTTTGAAAGTTTGAATTATTTTTCAGGTATCATGGCTACAGTAACACAGTGACACCTTGGCTCACAAACCTAATTCTCTTCCTGATACTTATCACAAACTGAACTAAACAACAACCTAATCAAATTTCCCTGTAAGGTCAACGTTGAACTTAACCATTGAGTTTGATTTCATTTTTGTCCTACTCGATTTTTGATCAGAATCATGTAAAGAATTAAGTTCGTGAGCTGAGGTACCACTGCCACAGCCCAGGAGGGAGAGGATAAGAGCTCCATTTGGAATGCAAGCAAAACACCCACCTATCTTACTGGGTAGGAGATTTCAAAAGAGGAGCTAACTAAGAGAAATAGCCTTTACTGAACGACCCACTCCAAACTCTGTATTAGATGCTGATCTACCATAAGGATCCCAGCCAATAGACTCCATATCTTAGCACCCCTTTGCTTGCTGCTTCCTTATTTCTCTAAGCTAAAGATGGCAAACATTTTAGAGTTTTCAATGGTGACAAAGAGCCCACTGCAGTACATGTGCTATAGGTTTCCATCACTGAGATAGACTTTCTCATATACAATATTTTCTTTACCAGCTTTGGAAGGGAATCACTTCTTTTCTGTTGAGTAGCATTACTTTCCTTAGAGACCGTGCTTCTAGCAGAGGCTTCACCAATAGCTACCACTTTGGAGTCATTGGTTCCATTTGGCCCTAGATACAAACAATAAAGCCGACTGCTGACTAGGAAATAAACTGTGGGAATTGGCATGTTTTCCAATGTGAGGTCATGGAAAACAGTGCTGGCCATGGCCAGTTGTATCCCCCAGACCTTTCATTTACAGGCCAAACAGAGGCAATGATCTCTAACAGATGCACCATTAGGCAAGACCTACATTTGAAAGTTTCGTTGATTCAGACATTCAGTAATTAAGTTGTGGGCCAGTGAGCACATTATCTGCAATCAAATATGTCCCTGATCAGTGATTAGATGGATAAACATGTGACCTCATTGTCTCTACTGAAGGGCGATTATGTAACAGTCTCTGATCCTCTGACATCATGGTTATTTGCCAACTTTTGATCCCAGTAAATAAGCTGAAATCATTTTCTGTGGTTTTAGAAACCAGATTTTTTTTTAGGACAACAAACTCGTTCCTGGTAGGCCTGATAACATGCATTGATTACCTATGTTCTGGGGGAGCTATACAGATGCCCAAATGCAAGGTGGGTGGGTGGTAGAGAAGGGGAAGCTTCAAAGAAAGCCTGAGCAGCAGGCCGGTGTCACGTGACTGTACAATAGACATATCAAACAATGCTTATTTTTTTTAAACTTTAGCTCTTTCTTGCTACATAACAGCAGTAAGGAGTAAGGCATGTGTAGGAGAGTTTGAGGAAGCAGAAGAGAGAGACTGTGACGGAAAAGGAGAAAGAGTGAGTGAAGGAGAATGATCTGCTCCTGAAACCAGCCCTTTGCCAGTCATGGAAGATTCGGTGACATTTTGTCTGTCTCACCAAGCAGGGAAAACCTATCTGCTTCATGCACAATGCAACACTCATCATCTATTTCCTTCTATGAAGGGTAAGGCAGTTGCACGAGAGCTTCCAAGTTACAGGTGGCCTAGCCAAAAGAAGACTACCGGATAATCCGGGTCCGGGTAACCTGGGACATCTAAATGTCACACAAGTTTGGATGCACATGTGACCTGGAACTGCTCTGAGGTGACTCAGGGTCCAGCTCTCCCTTAATCTCTTATTTACTCTCCTTATTCCAGCAAGATTAACGCTTGAGCAGCACCAAGCAGCCCTGACTTGGTTTCAGCTTTGGGTGGGCCAGCACCATGCAGAGCTCAGTCTCTCAGCTCAGGCTCATCTATGCGCATTTCAGTCCCAGCTGTGCTATGGGAAAGGGCAACACTCACTTAAAATGGCTGTTTAACCACAGTCAAATCAACAGGCCACAAACTCTGATCCAGCCAGGGCCAGCGCCACTGGAGGAAAGATCGCTGCACTGCAGTGTCCCTTTGCCAGATGCTTCCTCACTCTCTGGGAGTTTGGCTGAAAATGCATGACAGCTATATTGAGAGCTATAGCTGATGAAGCTATGAAGACCTGTCTTATAGGATAAAATTGACTAGCAATGATTTTAAGTTAATCTACATATCTTGCAATGGAAGCAATGATTCAAGTCATTTGGGTTCAAGTTAAATATTTCTGTAATCTATATTCTCCTATTTAAATCACAAATTAGGATTTAGGTAAAAATCCAGGGCAGTAAGCACATTAGTAATAAGAAAAGTCTTATTTTTAAACTAGGACTTGAACCCAGGCAGTATTGAGCTACAATTTCAGCCTGCTTTATTATTTTATTTTGAGACAAGTCTTGCTAAATTGCCCAGGGTGACCTTGAACTTGTATTCCTCCTGCCTCAGCCTCCCAAGTACCTTAGATGACATGTATGCTATAATACCTAGCAACATTTTCTTTTTCTCTGACCTAGTTTGCTTTTTTTGTCTGAAAACTCTAAGGTGAAGATTCAACTCTGATAACTTGTTTGTGCAGTGAGGGACACTCCAGTGGGGAGCCAAGGACACGACATGAGGCCCATCGTTGAGCCACTCAGGAGTTGGAGTAACTGAGTT